ATAAGGTATAAATACCTAAGAAATGCATATTTTAATGGTATATAAAAAGAAATATATTACAATAAATATAATGGAATGTATAAATATCATACCAATTTTGTTGATAAGCCATCAATCAAGAGTCCAAGACTCATATTATATAGATCTTTACAAATTAAAACGTGCAATAAACCATTATTATGTTATATTCTATTTAAATCCAATAGACAAAATATATACAATTATTATATTTTAATTATTATATCAATTATTTTTTATTTTACTATTTTTACTTTTCAACGTTAATGAAAATAGTCAACTAAATATTAAAATTTGAAATGTTTGATAAACAATATATTTCTTTTTGTAAATAATAAATTTTATTATAAAATATAAGTTAAAATATCAATTGATAATTTATAAAATATATAATCTTAACTTAAAATATTTCATATATATATATATATATATATTAAAATTTTTAAATACATATCATACACAAATTCATAATTTTTAATTACTAAAATAAGTATTCTATTATTAACATTTTTATTTCAATAAATTTTTTGAAATAAGAAATCATTTTTATATAAATTTAAATTACTATATTTGATAGATTCAATATAATATTGCATGATTGAAAATTTTGTAAACAAAATTTTTAATTTTTATAAATAATAAATATGTTATTATCTAGTGTAAATTAATATATATATATATATATATATATATATATATATATATATACAAATGTATGAATTTAAGTACTAAAATAATTATTCTATTATTAATATTTTTATTTGTATAAATTTATTGAGAATGGTTAATTAATTTTTCATATAAATATAAAATTGGTAGAATTTTTATTTAATTTATAATTATAAATATTAATTTTTAAGAATATTTTATTTAATTTTATGTTAAAATTGTTGAACATATTAATATTTAATTTGGAATTTCTTTAGACTGCATGTTTACAAATAAGATAATAAAATTAATTATATTTCACTTATAATTACAAATTAAAGGGTGGTTTAGTGGCTTAGTGAGTTAAGACGCTAAGCACTTAGTGTTTAAACCTGGGTTTGAATTGTGTTCGCATTGTTAATATTGGAGTTGTGTATGTATACGTTTGTATCGACACGACACCATATCGTGTTGATACGCATGATTGGCACGATACAATGCCAGTCGTAGCGTACCCAGTATTGTTCACCAACAATACTAGTATCGTTCACTAACAATACCGTGTATCATAAGAAAAAACTAATTCCCATTTAGCTCTTTTTTTTATGTTAAAGCTAAGTAGCTAACTAGAAACTAGGATAGGGATTATCAAATTTGGGAAAGACTAAACTTACATGTTTGGTTTGGTTCAACTCGGTGTGAAAACTGAAATTGAACCGAATTATCAGTTTATTTACCAACACAAACCAAAACCGATTGGTGGTGTTGAAAGACCGACCAAATCGGATTGGGTTGGGCCGGTTTGGTTGGTTTGACATCAAATATGAACACTCCTATGGGATAACTTTCGTTGTTGGGTGTCGAGCCTGTCGGCCAGCAACCTATGCTGTTGAGAGAGTTTTGTCCTTTTTGGTAGGGGTGTTCATGAGTCGGGTTGGGTCGGTTGTAGGCTTTTTGCTCAACCGAACCAACCTAGTCGGTTTGATAAACAACTAACTTGAAACCAATTGGTTATAAGGGAAAACCGATCCAAACATGAAAGGTCAGTTTTTCGGTTTGGTTGGGCCATTTTTGGGATGGTCAATTGGTCATCCTGGATTTATTGATTTGCAATCTCTTTTTCCTATTTTGTATGGCTCTTATTGGTTGATTTGTCTCATTGCCTATTTGAGTCAAACACCATCTTTTTCTATGTCATATAGGTTGCTGAGTGTTGCATTTATACTACCCCAAACCCAAAGATAATTGACATTTTTGTGTAAGTCTCTTCAACTTCAACAAAAAAGTAATGAACGAAGGGCAACCCAATTGTCTCCAACTTCAAGACTAATGTAAAAAAAATAATAATTAAAGTGGAGTCCAACTGTCTATATTTGTAAAAAGTATTGTGTAAAGTCTTAAAAGTGGAGAGAGTCCCATTGTTTCTATACCAAAATCAGAAGTATCAGACTTCTACTATCCATAGTCGGTTCAGTTCGGGTTGGTTTCAGTTTTCAGATTGGAAAGCCGAAACCAACTCGACTAGTTGGGTTGCTTATATTTATAAACCAAGACCAACCAAAAGTTTTGAGAAACCGATCAGATCAGTTTGGTCAGTTTGATCGGTTTGATTCTTCTTGTGAACACCCTTACTTGTTGGACTGGGCACATTCACGTATTTACACCTTTTGGTGAAAATAAATTAGGTGGCAATTACTAATTTACCTACTCTCATGCTAACCTTCACCTATTCACAGGTGAACCTAGGGATGGCAATTTTGAATTTTCAGGTATCTGACCTGTCCTAACCCTAATAGGACACATTTATCAAAACCCTATAGGGTTTGGGATTTAGATTAAAACCCTATAGGTTTGGGTTTTGACTTTCCAGTATCCGATACTCGATACTCAGGATGCATAAATATGAACCTATTATATTATATATCATGCACAAATTTATTTTAAGTGTTAAGATTATTATTCTATTATTAATATTTTATTTGTATAATATTTTTATATTAAAATCATCATTTGATGTAAATTTGGATTTGATAGATTATTTATTCCATTTAGTTATAAAATGCTAATATTAAATATTATTATTTTTTAATTTTTAGTTGGAATTGTTAATCATATATATATGTATTGATTGTTTTGATCAAAACAAAAGTTAATAAAACCTGTTTTATTTCATTAAATAACACAAAAGGTGAGATTTCTTTTTTGCTTGAAGTAGGATAATTTAAACAGGTATCCTACCTGTTGCCATTCATAGGTGAACCCATTAGTGTTGGATACTTGAATACACTTTTATGTGGGTTCACGGGTCGGGCAGGGTTAGTTTACTGAGATTTTTCCAACCGATCCGACCTGGTCGGGTTACCTAAAATTGAAACCGAAACCGACCTGGTCGGTTTGAGTCGGGTTGAGTCGGTTTGGGTTGGTTTCGGCTCTAAGTTCAACCATGGTAATAAATTGGTAGATTGGAGAAAGAAGACTGAAATTTGATGTAAAAAGGACACCTAATTCTATTAGAGAAAGAATACTGAAATTGTTAGGGGGGCGGACCAACTTAGAATAGAAGTTATCAAAAAAATAGAAAGTCAAATTGTATTAAAGAAAGAAGATTGAAATTTGTATATTTCAAGAAACCTTTTAATCTAAATAAAAAAAGACACCTAATTCTAATTGTAATTGGTTGCCTATTTGGTGTAAAAGACCATAAAAACTAGGATCCTTTGATTCTTTTCTTTAAACTTTTCCAGAAAAATTCCTTATGTAGTTGTCTTACAATACTTGCTATTAATGTCATTGCTAAATAGAAGACTAGAAATTAAGTTAGGTTGTAAATAGGATAGAGACAACTTAGTTAAATAGGAACTGAATAGGTTGTAACTACTAACTAATAAGTCGGGTCGGATCGGGACCCGAACCATCGATTTATGATTTTTTACAACCCGAAACCGATCGGTGCTGAAGATAACCCAACTAACTCGGGTTGAATCGGTCCGGGTTAATCGGTTTGATCGGATTGAATCTTCTTATAAACAGCCCTATCTGTATGTTCACTTCGAATTGTTTAGATAGCAAGGGATTCACTCCCGAGTAAAAACAACAAATTCGACCCTAATATCTATTAAGCATATTTAAATAAAAGAAAATAAAATGAAAATGTCGTTATTGCCCTGATCAAATATAGACCACGATTCCTTCATTGAGTTTTGTTCTTTGTTTGAATATATGCCGGCCATGCAATTCAGTTTATTCATTGTATATGAAGGTCAAAAGCTAATGAACATTGATTAGAGAGACCAAAATTAATAGACATGGATGGGGCCAAAATTCTAGTGTAATATCAATAGGGTTGTGGCTCTGCCCCTAGCTATGGCCCATGCCCTTAAATATTTTATATTTGATTTAGGTGGTCACATGTAGGAGTTGTCAGAGACTGGGTTTGTGTTTGACTCATTTAAAGTATTTCGTGGATTGAATTTGATTGGACCTGACTGGGTTCGGATTTGACTCATTTAAAGTATTTCGTGGATTGAATTTGATTGGACCTGATCCATTTATAATGAATTTAAATTCTGGTATCATATTTTCCAATATCGATTTTATCATTTTTATGAATACTTGTAGTAAATCTGTGAACCTCGGGGCTCTAATCAAATTGTTCGACTTAGCCCCGCCACTAAGTTGGGTTTAACTAACCATTTAAAACTTATTTGACTTAAAATTTAAGAATATAAACTAATATATATATTAGCCCTAAACTTCATATTATTTACACCTATATGGTTACACTCAAGTTCAAATAGAATTATATTCTTATTAAAATTCCAATAATGGATCATGTTCCAAAGCATGAAACATGAGGGGATGGACAGTGGGGTGTGCTATTTGGGAGCCCATCCGAATTTGAGTCTACCAACGAAACACGTTCTAACTAATAACCATCTACCATAATGATCTTACACCACACATGCGGATCTTACTTTTATGGATCTTGATGGATTTCCAGTCTCATGGTGAGATGTGTGGTATTGAATCAAGTTGATAGAAGATAAAAAGTTTGGAACGTATTTTGTTGATAGAAGATCTCAACTCTCGAAATTTGGCCTGAACCGGTCGGTCCCAAGACGGATGAAGTGGACCCAAGTTGCACTCCCGGTCGAGTTTGAAGTTAATCGGTTAATCCCCACTATACCAAGCTCGATATCCAGTTATCCATTTAACTATCTGACAAGAAAAAAAGAAACGGACAAATACGGATATTAACCCTCTCCTTCAATGCAGCCGTGCGGCTGTGCCTTTCTCTATGCCCAAAAGAAGACAAACTGACAAAGGAGTGGCATCCACTTGATTATTGCACGTTTGGAGGGCATTTTTGCAAGCTCAACCCTATACGAGCGGTGCTCGGTCGGTCTCTCTCTGTGCTTGTTAGCTTTGCGCCTTTGCGCCTTTGCGCCACAGGGGAAAACAGAATCGAGTGAAGTTTTGAGGCCTCCGGCAGTCTTCCGGTTCCATTACTTTACCCATCTCAAAGCCATGGATTTGTGCGGAGGGATCAGATCAAGAAGGGTAGCATTAAAAGCTATTGTCACACAGAAAACAGGAGGAGGAGGAACAGAGATGTCGTACGGCGAGACAACGGACGAGCAACCGCTAAGTCCAGCCGCCCGTATTTTTCGCGAGCCTAACTTTAACTGCTACATCATTGCGATCATGGGCTGCAAGACAAAAATTGATCCCGACGTTATCAAGGCTGGTTTGGAGACTACCCTGCTGAAGCACCCTCGTTTCTCCAGTATTCAGGTACGCTCTCTGTAAACTTGCTCTTCTTTCTTCTTATGACAAATTAATCAAACACTCTCCGCCTTCCTTCGTTCGGACTTTGGATTGGAATTCCGTTTTCTTTTATCATCTTCCATTTTCTTTTTTCAATTTCTCTAATCTTTTGCTTGAATCAATTGATGGTACATTATAGATAAAATAATTTACTACAGTCCTCCCAAAAAAAAAAAAAAAAAGAAATGTAGCCGTCCTCCATTTATTTGGGGTTGGCACTTGGTAGCTGGCAGTAGAGAGTAGTGACCAATCAAACTAATGGAAAAAAGCATCAAACTAGGCAGCCTGCCAATCAAACTAATGGAAAAAAGCATCAAACTAGGCAGCCTGTGATTTTCTTTTCTTTTATACTTGGATGCGGACTTTGTCAAAGAAATCCCTGGTTAACCAGAAAAATGAGCAAAGGAGATGCTTCCATTGAAGACTGGAATAACAACTTTTTCTTTTTCACCGTCTTGTTCTTGTTACTTGTTTTTCTTACATGTCTTCTGGTTTCTGCAACTTTCCTTTCCATCGTCTGCCATGGCTCCAAGTTTCCTAAATGTTAAAACGTGTCTCTTAGGCGACTTCAGTAATTCAGTTCAGAGATCAGAATCAATAAATATATAATAAAAGGGTGATGGGGAATCACTTGCAGTACGACCGTCCGCAATACCTATCCGATAGTTGGCCCTCGCGATTCACACAAAAAAACGACGGATTTTCTCCAAACATTTTCCCGTCGAAACTGATGGGGTCTCAGAAACCACAGTATAGCCAAGCCACAACACAGTTGAGTTGTGGACTTCTGGTCTTTTTTGGTAATAAAAACAATAAATACAGCTCTAGTCCCCAATCCATTAATCCAACGATTTCTGCAAGCCGTTTCTGTGGATCTCGTTTTGCCAAATTGTTTTTCTTGTGTCAATTTTGGGGACACTTTCCCGGTTTGCCACTTTGCCTTTCGAGAAAAATGCAAATCTCTATATTCCAAAGGCATCAACGTTCAACAGCTTCCCATCAATGACATCACAAATTTCATAAATATCAAAATACCCCATCTGGGTCCAGATACACAGTTGGGATTTGAGAAAATTTATTTTTATAAATTAAAAAGGAATGAATTAATATCGATTTTTTAATGAAAAATACACTTTTTTAATGAAGAAGATTTCTTCTAATAAATAGGTTAGGTTACTGCAAAACCTAACCTACCTAACCCCACATTTTGTTATTTTTCCCAAAATTTTGAAAAACTATTTGTAGTGTAAATATTAAATCAGTATAATTAAATGCTTTGGTCCATATTTGTGGGTGTACAATTTCACTGGTATGCTTTTAGTTTTTTTACTTTTACACCACATTCAAATGCATAGGAATGGCAAAGGGGCGGGGGTTCACGGCCGTATCATATTCTTCGTCCCCGCCCCCGATTCTGAAATTAACCTTATTCTCATCCTCGATCCCCATCGTAGATAAAACTGGACCTCCATTCTCCGATTCCTAACGGGGATAGGTTCTTTGTAGCGATACAAATCCCTAAATTCTTTTAGATAATAGTATTTTTTTTGAAAAATGAATTTATTTAAAATAAATAAAATTTTTAAATTATAAATAATATTTTAAATATGTTTTGATATATATATATAAAATCGGGGTTGGGGTGGGGTGGAGTGCTCATTCCCCATCCCCGACCCGATGGGGTTGGGGAAGTCGGGCACCCATCGGGGATGGGGAAAATTGCCATCCCTATG